CCCAGAAACCCCCCCCTCCTTGTGAACCGCTTAGCAATGCAGATTAGGCGTTGCAGAAATAAGATCGTGTGACAATCATACATTAGTATTGCTATTTCCTACATTACAAAAAAATGTATGTCTTTATTTGAAGGGGACTAGCTTAGCCTCTTGTTAGCATAGCACGCAGCGCTACTTGCATCACGCTCCACCCGCATTAACAGGCTTTTCTTGTCCGGTGTTTAGAATTGATGAGGTGAGAATTGAGCGGTGCAGTGATGATGTATTTTTGGAAGCCGACCCAGAAGTACACAACGTAAAGGCTCCCTCGAAAAAAAGCCTTCATGATTTGTTTTAATCGCAGGGAACTACAGCAAAGTCACATGACTTCACGTCACCACCGCTAAACTAATGGAAGCTAATTTCAACGCCATGTGGAGTAGCGTCATTTAATCTCCTGTTGACAATTTTAAGACTCACAAATCTATCGACATTCATTTAAATCAGGGGTGTCAAATCCGGCCCGCAACTTCATTTTATGTGGCCCGCAAGAGCTTGCAAAGAATATAATAACTTTATTATACGGTTACATGTACTTTACAGTATATCTATATGTGTTCATTTTAATTAATTTCTTATTTTTTATTTATCTTTTCTTTTTTTTTTTATCTTTGATTTATCCTTAATTTTATTAATCTGTGCTGTCCTGTTTTTCAATTTTACCGTGTTACTGTTAAACTACTGCATTTCCCCACTGGGATTAATAAAGGTCCATCTTATCTTATTTTACAGAAGCATGTTGCCCATAAACTACATGTCCACCAATGCATCTCATTTTGTGACCATACCACTGAAGAGACTTGCAATGATTTGCCCTAGACTTCTGCTTTCAGACGTAGTTAATTATGAAGTTATTACCCTATCCGATAATAATCCAATGCAGAGGCAATAATGTAATATAATACATTATTTCATATATATGATGTATTTATATATGTATATTTATATACCGTAATTTTCGGACTATAAACCGCGCCTTTTTCCCTATTTTTCAACGCTGCGGTTTATATAACGGTGCGGCTAATCTATGGATTTTTACAGCTAACGGCCAACACCTTTAACTCTATGGCCGGTCCGCGGACCCCCACCTTTAAGCGGCGGGTTCCAGCAGGAAAAGCTGGAGGCCGGAAAAGAGTGAGACAGGTAGCGCGCAAAAGTAAAAGTGGAACCGAGAGTGGTATGCCGCTGCTGCGGCTTATATTCAGGTGCGGCTCATAGTCCGAAAATTACGGTAGTTACAACCGGCCCTTTGAGTGCAACCATAATGCTAATGTGGTCCACGATGAAATTGAGTTTGACACCCCTGATTTAAATAAATAACCCAGTTTGAAGCAGAACTCAAAGACTGAATGAACAGGTTGCATCAGTCACCTTTTAAAGGCAACAATAATGTAGACCTGTTTAACAAATCTAACTCAAGCAGATGCAAATTGAACTTTCCCGTCCCTCTCATTTCTAACTCCAACAGAATTGGATGCAGTTTTGTTTATTGAAGTGTTTCACACTGAGAGAAATATCGAGCAGATAACCAGTATTGTTCATGAGAAGAGTGCGTTTGGAGAAGACGCCGCATGAATGACCTTCAATTTGAAAAGTCATGGTACGCTGCTTTGCTCTAATGAGGTTCTGGCCCAGTAGCTTCCTCCGGGCTGATTGTATTGATTCAGTCGGCTTATCAGCGCCCAGAGACGGAGAGTCGTCAGAGAGCAGGAAGAAAAGAGACGAGCGCTCACTGTGCATGTCAATTATGTCGTTTAGTGACAATTACGACTTTCCTGCCTCATGTGAGCATTTTGAAAAGGTGTGTTTTTATTTTTATTTAATTGGCCATAAATGTTCTTTACTGATTCTCTAAATATATATATTTGTAATGGTTCATTTAATTTATTTATTTTGGCATCTTTCCTTTTTACTGTTTTAAAATGCGTTTGCTTTTGTTAAGATATGTTTCATTTTAATACAAATATAATAATTGTACTATAACTTTTGAGCTTATTTGACCATCTAGCTGAATATCATTTGTGTCTAACGTATTACAACACAGTGGTTATTTGAAAGAGCAGAAATCTTCATGACGCTACAAACAAGCAACAGTTAGGATAGAAAGAGACTTTGAGAAAAGCGATGCAGAGTTAATCCATAAAGCAGAGGAAACACACACTGAGGCATTTGTCAGTTTGTTCTGTGGATTTAAAATTGTCTAACCATTAACAGCAATTATGGACATTCCATCTGAGCCTGATTAAGGTTAATGTTCCTTTTTTTATGTTTGGCTAATGTGATTAGTCAGAGTTCAGTCCAGAAGTGCAAGGTGTGTGTGAAGGGTACGCCTCTGTGCTTATTTTAAAACAGTTATTACACCATGAACTCAAATGAAATACATTGTGCTTTCCATTAGTCATGATGACTGCCAAAAACCTGCCGACTCATTTCTGCCATCAGAAAGGCAGTCAGCGTTTAGTAGCATCACTTATAGCCGTCTACTTTAACACCGCAAGGTATTTGATTTAAGGAAACGTCTGAATTATATATGATGTTTAGCTATGAGACCCTAAAGAGCTCTTTATTCTTCTCATACTGCAGCACCTCTTTTCACCCTCTGTCTGAAACCAGAGCCCAGTCTGCTCTGATTGGTTAACAGCTTCAGGGTATATGCAGGAATCCTGAAGTCACATGTAATTTCTTTTAAGACCCTTTCCATACATTTTAAGACCTCACCTCCACTTGGAGTTCTAACCGGTTACCTTGGCGACACACTTTACCTCACATTGACTATATACAGTATTGATTGTCCTTCCTCCTTATCTTCCAACCATTTGGACGCAGACTTGCATTTCCCCATAACGATGTTGCTTAGCAACCGGCGTAAACGGAGCTTCGCGCTATCAAGCAGTGAGCGTGCGATGTCCTGTTCAGATGACGTCAAATCCAACGGGATGCCATAAATAAACTCCACAGAATCACACTACACACCTACGCAATGATTACATTCAGGCAGACTGTAGAATACAACCTCTTTGGACAATTGATATACTTATTGAAAACAAGATACAAAATGTAATACCTTGGGAAATGCCCTTTAATACTTTTTAATAGCCTTCATTTTCGCTAAATTGATTTATCAACTTCTAACACTTTCTAAGACCCCGCGGACCCCCTGAGCTTAGAGATGCCCCGGCACTTATCCTATCACATAGAAAGTGTTGGACCGCTAGCCAATAGAAGTGGGAGTGTTACATAGTGATGTCATTATCTTACTGAAGTAAACAAAGGAGTCCAATGGAGGTGTTTCACTCACTTTTAATGGCCCAGACTTCCTAAATGGTTTTGTTCTTATTTGCACTCCTCCAGAAATGCATAGATTAGTTAAAATCTTATTATAAATACAATTTTTTTTTTTTGTCAGATTCTCAGGTTTGGCACGTCTCTGGATTACAAGTCGAGCCACGAAGGTGTTTCTTTTAATGCGGCTGCAGCAACTTCTTATTCCAGCGTTTTGTGTGGCATTCTGTTCTTAAACAGACTTTCACTCACAAGAGCAATGCTGAGGGAAAACACACGTAAACCAAACACACTCTCACTGATTGAAACCAGCGACTGACTCTAGAGCGCGCTGCAGAACAGAGCGGGGGAGGTACGGATGGTCGGTGACCCGTTTACCTGCCAGGGCGGAGCTCACACTGGTGGATCCGTTCAGCTGCACAGAGATGGAGGGGACGCTGCAGGACGAGAGACAAGGACAGGGACATTCAGTCAGCACACAGGAAACAGCTCTGGCACCAGATCAAGACCAAAACCTGAGTGTGGATGTACTGTGAGCGTTTCTATACATTCACTTAGGGTTGAACCCATCCGGAGATTGATTAGTAATGACTTAACATTTGCAAAGTGCCAATACGGGGCATGACTCATCAATATATTGAGAAATATGCAGCCGACAAATCTGCTTACTATGCGAAATAGCCTAATAGCCTAGAGCTCTAAACTAAATTCAGTGAAAGGCACTTTTTTATGAACTGCTCAGTCTTTAAATGTTCTTGTTTTGTTCCACAAAAATAACTTGTTTTCAAATGTAATAAACATACGGAAAGCAGCTTATCCTTACAATGACAGATGTTGAGTCAGCCAATGTTAAATAAATTAGCTAAGAGTTTTGTCAATTATCCCAATTTGTATTTTCCTTTTTTAACTATCGACTTATCAACTCTGTTTGTCTTGACTTTCGAGTAAGGGAATAAAATGCTCTAACCTCCAACACACAAGCACAAGCAATGACAAATGATAAGTTCCTGAACAAATGTAGAACAACCTGCAGGTAACTTCAAAGCCTGTTCGACAGAAGCTACGGTCAAAAGTAACCACTTCTTTTAAATGATACAGCTTTCCTTTTCTTTATGACATGTCTGCATATTTATTCTAGCATGTTGTGGCATTTAGCATCTGCTATGAAAGAACTTAAAAAAATATAAATAGAGATCAGATAGATGTGTCAGACAACCTGCATGTGTGAATCTATATTCAGTCGACACACCTTTCACAGTGATCATGTCTGAGCAATGACTGCTAAAGAAAGAATTAGGAACAGAAAGAAGGAAGGAGATGACACCTCCCAACAGGAAGCCAACACACACACACATACCTCTGCAGGGCTGGAGCTGCAGATAGTGTTCACTCATTCCTGTTTTACAACATAGGTCAAAGTGGAAATGGGCAGGAAAGACAAAGGGAAGGGAAGGGTGGAAAAGCGGCCCTTGACCTACAGCCCTGGACAGATGACAGAGGATTTTTCCTATTCGCGAGTTTGCCTTACTTTTGTCTCGTGTGCCTAAGGGGCAGAGTTAGTCAACTGTTTTAAGGTTTCAGTTTGAACACTAGTAAGATGGTTTCAATGAGTTACATTTTGTTTCGGTCGAGTTTGAAAGAAGTGTGTTTAATGTTATTCAGGAAATTGATTTTTTTTTTCTGTCAATGAGTCAGTTGGACTTATCAATGATGTTTTGTACCTTTCAATATTCATAACTCTCCAAATTCCTTTTTATTTTATTTATCATCTATTCCCTTGAACGCACATCATGGCATTGGGGAAGAAACATGTTGCTTATCAAACCGGATGTCATGTTTACACATCAGTGTCAGTGACCCCTGCCTAGTTATTTGTCCCCAACCTTTCCCACTGAAGACAAAAGCCAGACGTGAGTGGTTTATTCTCCACTGGGACTTCAGGGACATCTTTCTGCTGTCGATAGACTCTAACCTGACGGAGTGACACTGCAAACCAACACACAATCCATCCCATCAGAAACACACCTTAACCCGTTGGCACTGGCCGAGCTGGGCAGAAGCGGCGCAGACAGTTGACTTCCAGAGGCTGGTGGAGGCCAGGGGCTGCCCCAGGACATCCCCCCCACAGAGAGGGGTCTCCTCGGGTACGGGGAGTACACAGAGGTGGGGTGGGCCGCCACAGCCCTCCCTGTGGCCTGAAGAATGGGCCGGTTCAGACTGCCTGATGAAAAGGAATGTCGTGAGCGGCTGGGCATGGGTCCTGTGCTGCTGTGGCTCAAACACTGCTGGCAGGAGCAGGCCGCGCCGGAGGAGGGGATGGCCGGGGGTCCGGAAGAGGCCAGGGGGTACGGGAGGTTACACTGCCGTCGCACCTGCCGTCTGAAGCCGCTCGCTTTGTTCACCTGGGCCAGAGACGTGAGGTCAACTATGTAGTTGTATCCGTGCGGGCCCAGGTCCGCCGTGCCTTGGCGGGCCTGGTAGCTGTGCTCCAGGAGGATGGAGGTGCGAGTCTCGTATGGAGTCCATCCCCCCTCATCGTTCAGCCATTCCCAGTAAACACCACTGCCCAGGCCTGAGGACTGGGCGAACAGGGAGCGACGCACTGACCGTGTCTTTCCTGCAAATAAAATAAAACACCATTATTAAAAACACTTCTTTAAAGCTCATTACGCAAGCCTTATATATACACCAATTTACATTTTCAGTCAAAATCACATAAGGGGACCGTGACACAGAAAAGGTCCCAGAGAACTATTTAAATATAGATGTCAATAATGTAAATATCATAATCCTTAATCCATAAGATTTTCCTTTTGGCAGCCTGCTCTGTTATTTAGCCAATGAATGGTGATTCATGGTGATGTTTATTATAATTATTTAGAAAAGAGAAGATCACTTCAGCTATAATAACGACTATTCCCAATACGTGTTATTGTTTGAACGAATCAGCACATATGTATAATAGTACATATCAACAGTGACATATACAGATTAGTATTTCTATAGAACTCAATATTAATATACAGATTTAACATATCATTGAAGTCAGTGTAATGTGATAGGCCAACCCACAACTAACTAAATGTAAGCAATGTGTAAACTTTTATATTATACTAAGTTAACAACGTATACTAGCCTATAAGTAATTACAGTTTGGAATAGACAATATGCTAATGTAACAAGCAATTTGACAGGTTATAGAAAGCCTATGTGGACAAGTTAGCTAACGTTGAATACAAACTATTAAACAGGGTAAGCTTAATAATGTTAAGCTGAGTATTTTGCTAACATTAGCTAGCGGCTATGTAAACACGCATCAAAACAACAGCGTCCCTGTAAGCTAATGCTAAGTAGCTAACTAGCTTTATCTGTTAGCCTGGCCTGATGGTGTTTCCAGGACAGGTGCAACATTTGAACAAAAACACCGAATAGGAAGCTCATAATAGAGGTATTAAATTGCATAGTGTGTCATATTCTCACCTGTGTCCTGTCGAAACTGCTTCAGGCTCGGTATGTCGATGAGATAAGGCGTCAGGCTGGGGTCTGATTGTCCGAGGCAGATGCTCGTTGATCCGGCTGCTCCTCCTCCTGCTGCTCCTCGCTGGTTCCTCGTAGACAAACACCGCTCAATGTGGGCGCTCACCTGTCCGCTATAAGGCCTCCAATAGCCCAGGTCATCCTGCCATTCCCACACCGCTATCATGGGCTGAGATTGACCCACGGATCCAGAAGGAGTAGCCGAAACTGTCGGCCCATTTCTAGACCCGTTTACCCTGGCACAGGATCCAGACACAATCGCCATATTCACCCAAGCTAACAAACAGCTAGTTCTGGTTAGCTGGTGTAAGTGCTATACGACGAAGGAGAAAGACGTCTGCTAGCTTGGCTCGTTAAAAAGTGCCATAGTGAATTTGTTAAGAGGATGGTATGAGGTAGAGATTAGATGGTTGATACACAGTTAAGTGCATGTTGACAAAGATGGTGCATTCAGAGGCTTAGCGGATAAACGTTAGCTTTGTGACAGCAGCGTTGCCAGGGTTCCTTCCGTCCTCTACGGCCGCCTTCAGGGACCTCCGTGAAAATCGTAATTCTAACCACGTTTGTGGGAAGACAGAACCAGAATCAGAGTATTGCGAAGTAGGTTTCACTTACAAGGAATTTGCCTTTTAAAAAAACAAAATGAGGAGAACTGCAAAATTCAAGAAGATACTTGTATATTTCATTTCATTTCATTTGTATTTGTTCCGTTCATGGTACGCAAAACCCAATGGACAGTAATTGCCAACAAAACATGTCTCTACAAACGCACCATTGAGTGAAAAGGAGCAGGGAGAAGAAACAAATCTTATATTACCTGCCCCTTTCTAAAAAAAACACAAAATAAATAGAAATAGATGGTCTGTCCTTCATATTTCTTTTTCACAGCCAAACATAACAGTATCTTAGGATACAAAGAGAAACACAATAAATACTTATTTC